GTCAACAAATACGATGTGACAAACAGCCAGTTGTACAAAACAAAATCGATCCGGATTGCATTAATCCTAAGCAAAATTATTTGGGTTTCATTTGGTTCTTAATTGTATCTTGGATCCACCCGTTAGTTAGATGGACTAATTTTAAAGCTGACAATGACGATGAATACACCCCAAACACGAACAGCAACAGCGACCGCTATACAACTTCATTGGCCTTCCTGTGCCATGGTTGCTATTCGAGATACACAGCGCTATTTAACCAATGGCTATTTAGTATAATCCCATTCAAAACCTATACTTGTTGATTCATTTTCAAGAAATGAACGAGCTAAAATAAGATGAAATATACTAGCTTCTATTTCAAACAATCACTGTAGTGTATCTTGCAGAAAATGTTTACCTTTGGTAAAACGCTCTTTTTCGTTTTTATCAGCGCACGTCTTCCAACTAGGACGAACAGCCCTGCTTGATGAGAGTGCCCTCCATTGAACTCAGTTCTTCTCTTGTGCATCAGTGCGTTACGAAACTTATTTACAACTAGACTAACATATGGAACAGATGCTAAAGTTGCTCCTTTCAAACCATTTTGGAGTAGTTTAGTTGTAGTGAGCAGTCCAAACGAGATTAAGTGAGTACATCTGCTTCCCATTTGCTGTGGTAATTTTGGTAAACCGAAACGAGACCTTGGTGTTCGAGAATAACGGTCGAGATTGTGAAACAAGAACTACATCTACTAGGCATCATTTTCTAGTCATACTGGTTTGAACATACTCCATTCATGCAGCACTATAACTAGATAAACCACAGAAGACTGCACAATTGTCTTTCCTATCCAGATTACAAGGGCGTGTATTGCTACAGAATGTCATCGCACATTAGTGTAACGTGGTACCTGTCAGAAGAACATCTCATTTTAAGCTCATCAACTTAATGGACAGGTATTTTAGTTTTGTTAATGTAGTATGATTGAAGTCAGGAACTCCAGCTTTCAAAGTTTTAAGGGTTACTGTCAAAATTCGACTTGTCAGAGCACGTCACCGTGGTGAGCGATTATGACAACGGTAGGTTGGAAGCAGTTTAACTTTTCTGAAGTGAACACGCCTTAAATGTGAATGTATTACACAAGTTGGTCTCTACTACGGTTCACTGAACGAATTCCTCACTGACCATTTGTTTTCTCGTGGCATTATCCAAATTCAGGTTCCAGCTCATTAGTTACGAGGCTCAGCACCGACTCCTGGATTCAGGTTGTACAATGAACAGCCACCATGTCTCGTTGCTACTCTAGTGAAACACTTATCGCCGGAAGGAACCTTAGACGGCGGTAATCTAGCAAGACAATTTTTAGCACGTGTATTGAACTGGATCTCGGGTCTGTTCGTCAGGCTTCACTAACGCCCGTTGCACACTCAAACTTCATTTATGACCTCAAATTCTTTTTGAATGCGTTTTACCTGGGGCGGGCTAGCAGGACTGTGACAACCTGTTCAGGACTATTCATAACTCTTTTGACAAGCAGTATCTCCAACTCCTTTCTAACATTTGAACGTGAAAAATTTGGTCCGGTCCCTTCCAATCCACCACTGTGAATAGGATCTGTGTCTAAAGAGTATCAGCTTGGGTCGCCTTGTTGACAACTAGTTAGGAACGGTTATCGATTTAATCTAGTTTTGTCTCATCGCGTTATCCTTTGTTTTTACTGCACAATTGTCTAACTCTCTCCGTACTTTATTATCCCTGGCTTTCTTGCTGTCTCGCCGTTTTTTGGTAATGAAAAAGTGCTCTTTGCCTGACCTTCACTTACAATCGCTCACATATCGTTTCGTGAACGGATCATCGGGCTGACTCAATGGCAAACTGTTAAAGTAATCGAATACCTTTGAAATAAGCAGGATAATCATGGAGCGTAGATTATCAGTTGAAGATCAATGATGCAACTGTCTGTATGATAATAGAGGCAAGGTGTCTTGTTAGGAATTCCACCGAGCTGTGACGAGGTTCGGCCTAGGTTGACAGGAAAGCTGTAATTAATGAAATCTGTATTTCGAAGTCCCTTTTACCAGCAGCCATGTCAGATACCTCCCAGATGAAGAACAGTTCTAGTGTTTGAAATGATGGAGCAAGAAACCATAAGTTACAATGTTTCACATAAAAATAACAAAAGGACTCAATCTAAGTACCAGGAAACTGGCACTTGTGCATGTTCAAATGCGGGTTGTATCGTAATTGATTATCCGGTTGCTGCTGTAATTTCGCAAGTCTTTAAATGCACCGCCAAATACAAAAGGGGGCATCAACTCTGTTGATGACATCCACCAGAGCTTCTGTAGCTGATAGGATCCTTGGCGTGCTATGGTTTTTACGGCTTTCGTGACCCAATATATAGAACCCTGCGTGGATCGCCATTCCAAACAGCCGAGCTTAGATTGCGGTAACCAGAAAATACTTGCAGTTTCAAACTTTTGGTGGGTTCTGTTCACCTACACACGTCGTGTCAGCCGAGCAATCGGTATCGAGTACTGGTGAGTAGGGAGAAGGTGGGTCACTGACGGCAACCCAAAGGCCTCTGACGTGTAATACGCGTGCACACCTCGACCACTTTGGGTCATGTGACGGCGGTCACGGACAGAAAAAATCGACGGTAAATATGACGTGGACCCATCGACCACCGATTTCCTATAATTCATACCAACTAATACATGTTAGGGTTGACACATTGAAGGGCCGATGAAGTTCACGACTGAGTACTAAAAAACACTGGATGAACTAATGAGTAATTCCCACATATTTGTGAACAAATACATGAGAACTATTTCGGTTGGCCTCTTGGATGTTTACTCTGAAGAGAAATTGTTATATTCGCCAACTGACTGCATACAGCAGTCATCGAAAGTTTTGCTGACTGATATCCAATAGATTCCATAACACAGTGGAGTGAAGAGTTTCACCTCTATAAAGAAAGCTGATTGCATCCAAATTTGCGAGTAGAATAGACAATGAAGTTTTTAGTGCCAAAAAGGAACTTACACCGCGCAAAAAACTATTAGAGACATCATGCGTCAGTCTAGGTGAGCGGTCACTTTCAGAAAACATGCTTCTGAGCGTTGTAAACGGACAGAATTACAGATATAATTAATCTTCTCCAGTCCACCGAAGAGAGTATTTATGAGTGGTCCTTCGCAACTTGCACTGAATTTTAAAATCTTGAACAAAGCACCTATCATAAAGGAAACTACTCACAAGGTTGCGGAAAACTATTCGACAGCCCACGACCGGTTTCGCCCTTCTTGGGGCTCATCAGGTAGGCGCAGCCCCCGAGTTTCCGTCAACTCTATGTTTTACTTGAACCAGATTGATTTGCAAATGAGTGTATTTCTGGAAAGCACCCACCAGTTTGAAAATCAGACCACGTCATTGGATTCATCCACTGATTTGTCTGTCTCCCCTATTAGAGCTCATCAGTAACACATACCCTGAACCGTGCCGGAGTATGAACTCCGGAAATCAGATATGCGAAGGGGACGTGCCTGCACTACCCAAAAGCGCACGCTGGACGCACGTGAATTACCACTTCTGAACAGGCGGACTGTTTAGCATACCACACAGTCCGGCGAACGGTTCGGCGGACATGAGGAGACATGTCAGTCAGATAATAACGCAAGCCCACCGTGAAGTTAGCTGAAGCTGATCAATCGAAGTTGAGTTGTCAGAAAGAGACAAGATATGCAGATTTTTTCACGAATCAGCCGACCGACCGATCTGATCATAATCGCTCACTCAATGAAATTTCACTGATTGTAGCTTGCGTATATTTTTCATCTAACGTCGGTGGACCACGCTGAAATGTCACCTTTGTTGCCAGTGCGTACAGACAGTCAAGGCCATGCCACCTGTTTAAACTAGCCTAATCACCAGTGTATCCACTGATTCAACCGATCAGTACACACGACAGATAGGAAGACCCACAACACACCCACAACTACCATTGAATACAAGACTGTCTATGCACATGCTCCTATGGACATTGTTCGACCGTTTGTAACCTACCACACCTCTACAAGAGATATCAACGGTTTAGGCTATTGAAAAGCCGATGGTCATCGTGGAGTATCCTCCTGACTTGTAAAGTAGTTATCTCATGAAGTGGAAGATGTCTCCTCTCAGGCTCTGGAGACTGTTCCCTGGCTTAGATTTACAACAGAGAATATGATCTCCTCGAAGTGTGTTACCTCTGGAACCTCGAGGGACGAGTACTATAGTGGAAACTCCTTCGTTCCCTCTCAAGAAGAAGCACTTGCGCTTGCCCCTTCAGGTGGTCTCTAAACAACAGGGACAGTTATACGCTCACACACTAAAACACTAACGTACTGACTTTCCTAGATAGACCAAAACTGAAGGGTACACGGTTCACAACCGTATGAAGGTTACCGATGGGGCGACGTTTCCTGGCTCGACGAAAATAGTCTAATTTCGAGCTGCCACTATAAAATGCACCGTTTCGCAGAAGATATCTTGGTATTTGCATCTGAAACTAAGAAAACGATTTGCCGTAGAAGCCGTTTACTTTCTGAAGGAAATTTTCAGTTCTTAGTTGCGAGAAATCGCCAGTCATTGAGTTGTTTAAAAACATCGACATAGAAGCGAAATTCACCGCAGTCACCATCGACTGATCTGTTAGAATTCAGTTTCGGTAACTTGATTTAACTCTAGAAAAACAACAGAATATCTAGTGATTTATTCACCCAAACTAGTTAGTTCGACTGTTACCCAGTGCACCTATTTGGTTAGAAGACTTAGGTCTCCAAAAAAGGACGGTTCCCGAAAAGAGCAATTCCGCCATGCCTCGGTGATATCGCCTCCTTTATCACATGGTCCAATCATGCGCTTGACCTTACTCAGATGTTTTTCAGTGTCAGAGTTATTTACTGATGTCACCACTGCACTACTTTACAGAGGTCACAGAACAGGGAAGTATCCCACGCAACAGCAAAAACTAAATCCGGGATCAAAGCTAGAGTTGTATTCAGTATTTGCATTCAAAAAAAACAGTGCCGTAAATAATTGCATAAGTGTGTTTTTCGTGATCGACAAAGTGGGAAATTGTTTGCCTATTTACAATAGATACCCTGTTCGAGCCAGCATTGCAGTGCATCAGTTCTACAACGCGCAAAACAAGAAGAATATGCATTCAGGTCACATTTGGTTGAGAAAAATAATGGCCAGAAAACAGCTAGATTCGCGACGCTGCCGTTGTTTAGAGAAAAAACAATCGGATTCGATAAGGAGGTGAGGATGGTGTAGTCGTGCTGTTGTATCAGACCGAACAAGAGATGTGACAACACCAGAAAGAGGGCAGTTCTGCCCGGGAAGCAAAAATAAGCCAATTAAGTTAAGGTCACTCATCCCGGCAGAGGTCATGTGATAGATCACTCATTTTTTCGAGTAGATAAACAGGCAACAGCCGACAGTCAGTTTAGAATGCTGGATGGGAAACCGAGATTCGGATAATGGCGTAAATTGGGTCAAATGGGAAATGCTGCGTTCGAGTAGGATGTTTGGGTTTACAACTTTACGTTCTATTTTAAAAAAACTGCGCTTTAAAAAGGTTGGCGGAAAAAGAGAAAATGAACCTTAAGAACGGGATTATGTGTCGTGTCAAGTGCAGACATCACACCATCGACTAGAGCTGAAGTTTGAGCAGTATTCAAAATGATATCAGTTGGATTGACAGATGTGACTAAGGTATTCAAATGGGAAGGGTGTTAATTCGACTCCTCGTTTGAGATTCACAGGTTTTATGTAAATTATATGTTCCACAGCGAACGTATGTACAGAATGATGACATACCCTGTATCCCGGAGCACTTGTGTGTGTTAAAAGAAATCAAGCGAATAAGTGCTTGTGAGAGAAAGAGAGAGTGATAGGCGAAGCGACAAACAAATGCCGGTTAGGCCCTCATGTTTGTACCGTGTGAACTGTCTGTTTGAGGGTGATAGTTCAGCAGCGGCGTGTTACTCTGGCCCAAATCTAACTCACCAGTAGTCGAGGAAAGATGTGACTGTGGTGTCGGGACAGGATAGCTGAAACTTGCACAGGTGGTAGCTCCTACACTCGACTGATAACCGGGATAAGATTGCTGTCCTGAGTGACCAGGCTGAAATAGCAGACGACCATCTACCGCTTCGTTGGACAAGGGTGAACCGGGACCAGTGATTGCAGAGGATTCGGCAGAGGATGAGTTGGTGATGGAATTCGGGGCTGCCATCGAGCCACTAAAATTAGGACCATGACCATTAGCCATGGGATATACCATGCCTGGAGGGTATATGTTCATAGCATTGCTAGTAAGCATATACTCATTGCCCCCGGCAGTACTGGCAGGATACATTGGCTGGGTGTAACCAGCCATGGTACTCGGATCTTGCATCGCATAGAACTGCCCGCCGGGTTGTGATCCCACTGATTGTAACAAAATGGGGTAAGAGCCGGGTACGATCGCCACAGAGCCTGGTGCCGCAGGCTGAAAGTTCTGATTTGGTATTAGGGCTTGACCACTGCTGGAAAAAGAGTGGGAACCGTTGGTAGATGAATATCCCAAAGTAGCCGTACCAGCTCCAGTGCCTGGTGGTGACGGACGAATTCGAGGGTCACCCGGCGCACTCCAAGGTGTTGCAGTGGAATTGATTCCATTGCGACACATACCTACAGAGCTACTGCTCGCTGCTGAAGGAGATTTCATCTGGGTTTGTTGTACCGGTCCATAGTAGTTTCGCTGTCGAAGATGGGCAGCACGGCTGGCGCGCGAGGTTCTTCTGCTGACCAGACAGTAGGACACTACACATACGCATACGAAGAATACTACAATAGGCACAGCGATATACACGGTTAGTCGACGCATGCTGCTGCCAACCAATTCACCCGCGTCGCCCACTCCATCCCCTGGAAAGGCAAGCAGAAATAAAGTGCCCTTGTTAAACGAATCCGTACAAGAAAAAACTGTAGGCACAGTATAACGTGATAACCTGGAGGGTAAAAGCTTTACACTTCTGGTTGCGCTTGTTGGTCGATGAGCAGAAAACATCCAGAGTTTCACTATACAGGTAAACAAAGAAATTTCTGGAACTTTATTCATCACTATCAACATCAGCGGCAGCAGCTTGTCACATGTCGGAAAATGAAGGCAACGCACAACAGATGATGATGAATGAATGACTTGATTAATATGAAAATCATGGACATATGGTCCGGATGTGCACCGTGAGCTCTCTAACAGTTACCACGATTTTAGCCAGTATCCAATGTGTCAACTAATACGGAAGAGCATTGAGCGATTATATTGTTCTCCGTATATCTAATGTCCAGGCAAAATTGGCTTGAGTCGGGAACAACCATGCCCCGCCCACAGCTAGGATGTCTCGCTGAAAAGGTTGGTCCTGGCCTGATGACAAGGTGTATTTTTCACCAAATGAGCATAAAGACTGTATAGTCGCATGGGAATGAAGTTTGTGTATCAGAAGGTAAGACAGGGATGAGTAATCTGCCATTTATGGAGGAGGGGTGATGAGTTGCTTGGCAGGCCGACTGAATGGATAGACGACGGACGGATGGATGGCAGAGCCAGGCGACGAATTGTTTATCGCATGAATGAATAGACGGATAGCATGCCAATGAATAACTAAGTCGGTGTAACCATTATCTGCTCTCAATAGATTAGGGATGGACGACGGAACAGTCTATTGAGAAGAAGTGAGTACCAACCACAACGGATAAGACAAGAGGAAACAACAACTGCTGTACCTATGGTGACATGCTGTCAATCAATACATGGAACGGTATGAATGGTCGGCAGAAAACATTTGGATGACAGTTAAGTCAACAATGGAATTATCGCCTGCCCTTATTAGATAGCCGGCCTATTTGTGTTGACTGAATGCACGTGCGCATAGCCCGACCCGCATTGTTCAGACGCGTGTACCAATATGTGACCGAAACAAAAAGCTTGAACAGGGCATACACACATACATCAGACTCATCCGCACTCCGAATTTGTGCATTGTTTCAGTGTCCCTACCGAGGGAGAACAAATGCTGGCAGCTCAAGAAACTAAATTGAACCGTCAATTAGAAAAATATTGCATGGTGTTTGCGTAAACAGCAACAGTGAAAGGATAGTCCAATAGGGCAGCAGTTTTGTTCAAACGGAGGGATGATGAAGAAACTAACGCGCTCTACCGAAATGTTTTCACCTGTGTCAAGCAAATAAAACGGTGTTGAAAAAAGTCATGATATTCATCGTACCTGTTACAGATATGTGAACAAATTTGTGGTCATCTCGGCCTGCCTCCGTGAGGACGGAACAGACGTATCGTCCAGCATCAGAGGGTTTTGCTTGGCGAATCAACAGCCGACTCAACTGGTTGCTGGAGGCCTCAGTTGCCACGGCACCAGAGGTTGGAATCAGTGGGTGAATGGTTCGACTGACCAGTTTGTGCCCAGAAAACCTGTGAGTTGCTGGTGCAACGACTCCATCTACAGCGCTGTTGGGAACGCTAGGTAACACTACGAAGGTGCCTCCAGCCCATTGAATAACTTCACGACCTCTCCCTTCGTAGTGTGAGCGCTGAGACGCATCAATGCTCTTGCCCCACTGGCGAAAGAAAACAAGGAGTGAAGTAAGTTACTAGTAAATTATCAGTATCAAAATGGTGTGAAAAAAGTTCACTTTATTGTTCTGAAGTTGGCTGAGCTTCAGAGGATGCTGATGATGGTGATTTAACGACTTCCGGTTCCTACAAAAAAGGGTCAAAAGTATCTTCAGTGACAATGCCAGTGGATCAGTTCCCATGATCCTAGGCAGTCATGAGAGATAAGGTGTGTACTCGGCAGCACCTTGAATAGTCATAAACCCATACCAACCCACGATGAAATGAACAATATGCAAGTAAGTAATTCCTGCATTCTGTATTTGTTCACCAGTTGCAAACTAAAGTAGTCAGGGACGTTACGCAGACAAGGATTAAGAAGAAAGTTCCAAAGTGTAAATTTGAGCCTTCGCTTACTCAAACTCTAGGTACATAAGACAAGATCATGAAGGCAAACACATAAAGTAAGACAACATTCACTGCACAAAAATAGGATAAAAATGTAATATTGTTTGCAACGATCCCATCGAACACGAAGCCGAAAAAACATGACTCTGCAACGGGAACTACGTCAAATACGTGACATTGTCGTAGTATAGTCGTTGGAAGTGATAATAAAAATGGATAAATCAAACCTAAAGCTATCTGACTACACCGCCACCCGAAACTTGACCGCTGAAGCTAAGCCCACGATCGTAGTATGAACCTACTGCTGCTGAGATGTCTTACATTCCTAGAACTTATTTGAATGCACGAGGTGAAAAGCTATTCTGGGGTAGTATCAATGAGTAATTCGGGCACAAAAACATCGAATGCGACAGAAGCACTTGACAATCAGAACAATTACCGTTGCAGTAACCGAGCTGATCGGACGAGTTATCAGGCTGGAAAAAACCGACTGCGCGAAGAGTTCTCAACGGTCGGGTGTTCCGTTAGGATAACTGTGCGCTTGTTGTGAAATCCATGTTGATCCGTGCTAAACCAATCCCTTGGTTACAGCAAAGGTAAGTCATATTCCTAGAATTTATCTAGCGAATAAAAGTGTGCATTTCAATGTGAATCCCTGACGTTTCTAGGCTTGGGCAAGATGGAACTGCATGAGACCTCAGGATTTATTAAAGATATACGACAGCTACGTTAACACAATGACCATGAATGGACGGTTCCACAAGCTGATATCGGAAACGTCTAACGAAAAATGTCACAATAGTTGTATCCCAGTAAAGATGCCATTGTTCGCCGGTGAGAGCGAAAACAGAATTTCGACAAAACCCTGTGTTTCCGAGCGGAATCAGGCTGCGTAAAGGTACATTCTGCCTGAATAATACCCAGTTAGACACATTATGATCCTACACATTTCTCCCACTATCAGGATGAAGATGGTTGGTTAGGGCGCCCAAAACGAATAAGGGAAAATCTCCATCCATTTGGTTTCTAATGGCAGCACAATAACCGTTTGGAGTTGAAGATGTTTATATAAATGAAGGTAAGAGTGCTACGGTATTGTTGAAATGCCAATTAGATCGGGCAGAGGTCTCCGCAGGAGGTAGACGTGAATTAGATGGTGAGCTTTGCATGAGCTTCGCCTTGAGTTGCAGCAATTGAGAACAGACATCTTATGTTGGTCCAGTTTAGCTAGTAAAAAAGAGAGCTTTGAAAGGACTTGAGCACGGAAACGTCAGAATAAATATATTTCATGAGCCCTAACAAGGTTTCTACCCCCTCACCAATACATTATCCCCCGTACCGTAAACTGGATTTTTCTGATGTATCAGAATCATTTTAACATCTTTTTTTCCATAGGGTATTGAAATATCCATTCCAATGAAAGCGACAGAAAAGACGCAAAGGATAGATCGGACATCCTGTGTAGATTCGTTTTGGTAAAAGTCAGTCTCCAGCCAGTGGGAGAAACATGTTTTATAGATATTATTGTGCGCATTTCTTTTGGGAATAGGAAGTTAGCGGTGGGACTGTAAATTGAAGGCCAATGAAGCTAATAGACCTTTAAATATGTGTTGAAGGTTTATAGACTGGAAATATTCTAATAGTCACGTCGCCAATGAGCGGTGTCCAGGCACCATCTGCAAGCACAGTGCACTGAGACTTGACCGCCTTCACTCATTATGTTGTCCGAACTGCATTAGAAACGCTGACGCCAACAACCAAGCCATTGGAAGAATCATAACGGAATCGGGTTTGGTCCCAAGGGTCAAGACTGGACGTGTTATTACATGAAATTCGATCGAAATAGAACACATGTGCAGGTTTAGCTTGCCATGGTATGCAAACTATTATGATGAGCTGAACGGAAATCGAATACCGAATCGTGTGCAACGTCAGAGCATTGTTTTATTTCACGCACGACAACTTAAAAGAAACCAGAAAAAGTGCACAATAGTTCATAGATGAGCCGTATCTTGACTGTCTGAAGGGTCCTCATAACAAAGTTCATTGGGGCAACGGTGGAAATCAATATTCAGCACACTATTCGAAACCACATGTCTCGCGTTAAGAAACCTCGCACGAACTGCACGTCTCACTTAAAGAAGCCAACCGAAGATTACCTCGTAGGAGCGGTCTCTTGCTGGGAAGAAGGAACCGTTGAAAGGAAGTGAAGAAAAAATATCTTCCCAAGCTGATAATTACTCTTCAGATGCACAGGTATGGCTCAGTAGGATGCAGTGGACATTTTACATGGAATACTATCCCAATTATAAAAATTTTATACATCATTTGTCGGAGTAAGTTACAAATTCGCCCCAACCACAAGGAACCTGCAACCGAACAGCAACCCAAACGCAAAGCTGTTGCCCTAGCAACAAGTTTTCATCCCCACAGTAAAGCTACGAAGTTTGGCCTACACAACCGAACTTTTTAATAGGATTTTTGTAATGTACTACTCATAAGGTTGCTGAAAATCCATCGACAGCCCACGACCGGTTTCGCCCTTTTTGGGGCTCATCAGGTAGGCGCAGTCCCCGGGTTTCTGTCAACCTTATGTTCTACTTGAAACCAAATTGCACGAAATTAGCGAATATACACTCATCTAAAAAAACAACAGGCTCTCTTTTAATGTAACCACTGTCGATAAACGACAGAGGTGTTTTTGTGCGAGTGGCGATGAAATCGGTAATTTCGGATGCAATGGCGCGAAACTTAAACAAAGGCGCCTGGCTTCTAAGCTGGCCTGGGCAGCTGTTCGGGCAATCCCTAATTGGTCATCTGTTTATATTGTGTGTGCGTGTAAGGGGATTGGATGCAGAGCGATCAGCGCCCACTTCGGCGTTATGTTGGGTAGGTGAGTGCGCGCAAGCTCATCTACGCCAGGGAAGTGAAATCCAAATCGCCATGACGAAACGAATCTGGTGTGAATTAACAGTCTTGTCAACAAAACCAGTGTCTTCATCTCTCACGTATAAATAAATGAAGCAGCAACGTGATGCATAGATGGAAGAATAAATAGACATCATTTGAATGAACACTAGTCCAGCCCATTCAGTCAGTCATCCAGTCCATTGGCCTGTTTATTTCTAAAACGATGTTTGCCCGTGCGTGCGTAAAACGCGCTTCCAACAGGAGGAAGGAGGAAAGAGAAACAAGACCAAACGGGTGTGAGTTAATCATGTTTACATATGCTGAAAGGTCGAACCCAAAACGTGCCATATCCGCACTTACTCGAATCGTGCTTGAACGATGCTCTTCGGGATTAACTTCACAGGTGAAAACCGCATCTTGACCAGCAACCACTGTTTCACTAGTGTTTCGAGATCCAAGAATAATCGGGCCATCTGAACGAGCTGAAATATAGGAAATGTCGAACGTTCGATGAAACATTTCAAAGTGACATAAGATTGACTTAAACAGGGACCAAGGGTTTGGAGAACTTCCTCTACGATATGAAATAAGAGCTAAAGTGGAAGCCACCATTCAACGAATGATTTTATACTCTTAAGTGTAGAAATGCTAAGAAATTATAGATGTGGCGAACGATGAGCGCAGTGATCAGAGAAGGCTTCAGTAGTGGAATCGCGATTGTGCAGTCTTAGGAATAAACAAAACTGTATAGGATGTATGTTTCGTCCCTTGTGATAAACAGTGCTATAAAAGAAGAACGAAATTCGTCCAAGCATATGCTGATGCATGTCACATCTGTCGATCGCCTACTATTTTCATCACTGAGTCCGCTGCAAGAATCCGTCTAGGGTGACATGTCCCATCAGAGGGCAGACGTTGTACATGTCAAAACCGAAAACCGGAGGCAGCACAGCATGCGGTCAGGGGTGAAACAAGCAAGGATCAAATCTGTACAGGCCTGCCCATACAGTTTAGATGATTGTGAAACGCCGAATTGCAAACGGGGAATTACATCGGCTTGTTCTGTCGTGTTTAAGCATACACACACGAGCCTCAACACACACGCATGCATACACAAATCCAAGCCAATGCGTTCGCTTGTAGTGGCAAGATACGTTCTTCAATGAGGCAATCTAAAACTGGCTGTTGGTGACAGCATCCAACCGCGCTATCGAAAGGATGCAAGCAGCCGAAACTGCCAACTGTGAAATGCTTTTGACGGTTGAACATTAACAGTTTATGACAGGAAAATGTTTGGGGGCACCGAAAGGGAGAATTTCAGATTCAGTTGTCTTGAAAATGTGAGTTACAGAACCACTCCTCCTAACTGTCGAGCACAATCCGTCATGAAGACCATCCGAGAGGAAGTTAGAAACATCTCATCCAACTGACAGCTGTATGTCAGTTTGTCCACAACATCTGCTAAACAAAAAATTGCTGCTTGTGTAAGTTCAACGTGTGTAAGTAGTTCGATAAAACGGGGAATTACCTCGGCTTGTTCTGTCGTGTTTAAGCATACACACACGAGCCTCAACACACACGCATGCATACACAAATCCAAGCCAATGCGTTCGCTTGTAGTGGCAAGATACGTTCTTCAATGAGGCAATCTAAAACTGGCTGTTGGTGACAGCATCCAACCGCGCTATCGAAAGGATGCAAGCAGCCGAAACTGCCAACTGTGAAATGCTTTTGACGGTTGAACATTAACAGTTTATGACAGGAAAATGTTTGGGGGCACCGAAAGGGAGAATTTCAGATTCAGTTGTCTTGAAAATGTGAGTTACAGAACCACTCCTCCTAACTGTCGAGCACAATCCGTCATGAAGACCATCCGAGAGGAAGTTAGAAACATCTCATCCAACTGACAGCTGTATGTCAGTTTGTCCACAACATCTGCTAAACAAAAAATTGCTGCTTGTGTAAGTTCAACGTGTGTAAGTAGTTCGATAGGTGCGCTCGAGGGTACACAAGTTTGGCGGGATGATTGCATCGAATTTGCTGTCAACCAGTTCCATAACCAAAACTGACATGCATCTGACTGGGTAATCGTAAACAGGACGAACACACAGACATTGCAACCACGCGGCTTCTACATAACCACCAACAAAAGTGTCTAAGCTGTCAGTCGTCTGCCGTGCCTAGCAGTTGTGTCAGATCCACATTGGAAGTCTCCCGTCCAACAAACCGTATGAATAATCCTACCAAACCGTGCTAGCCGATCATACTGACAAGATGAAGGGGGCGCCAAGATAAGTGAAACCAGTAGTCGCTTTAGGTGCCAAGTAAACGACAAACGGTGTGCACGCGCACACACGTAGACGCGGGCAATCATCCAGCCTATCCTCGTCAATTCCAACTCAATGCTTCCCGAAGACCCAAAAATGTTTCCAAACTGTGCAGGTTCGTTTAAAGGTCAACGCAATGTCCAAAGTGATATGTGTGGCGGGTGGTCGGGCTGATGTGTGTGTGTGTGCGCCCGCACGCGTGAGTGCGAGCATGTGATTGTGTAAAAGCGTTCACGGGCACACAGTAGAGCACATATGTGGGCCTCCGTACGTGCTACGTCGGATGGTAACCGATATGACAGAATGACAGGACCAACTAGTAGCGGAAGCATATGGTGGAAGTTTTCTGTTCGTGTATGCACGCGCTAGTGTATTTTTATCCCGACCGACCAACGGGCTGACCGACCTGCCCACCTACTAACCTGACTACCCGAAAGAGTTTATGTGTACACGAATCGAAACGAGCTGTGACTTCCAAGCGCTTGCAGCTTATCCGGCCACACCAAGCTAGACATCCCGTCATATTTGACAGGACGCCAGACTATGAAGTGAAAATACCAAGCAACATTTACAGCATCACTTTAGGTGTAGGGTATCGGGGCAAAGACCGGAGAAAATATCCGTTCGCTTGCTCGTTTGAACAACGGAGTGAACAAATAAACGGGCGAAGTTGGAGCATACAGTGCAGTGAATCGAAGATGCCATAATGAACTCAGTTGTTCTCAAAGGCTAGAATAAAACCAACAAGAAAGGAATCATATGCAGTCGGGTCCACAGAAAGACTAGATAGAGTTTGGTTCAAAATGTAGCTTGTTGGAATCCAGCTCCAAGGGAGGAGCAAGTGACAGCTAAACAGTACAGTCCTCCGTCGCCTAACTACTTCTGAAGCCTCTTGAAATGTGAACACACCACCCCATTCCGACCAACTGGGAAGTCTCAAGGTAAATTTTGCAAGAAAGCTCAAGCCTGACCAGTCAGTTAGCATGAAGGTTGATACTACCGGCTCAGACAAGCTTGGGAAATCAATATTACCCAGCGTTTGGTATACTTCGGATGCCCGTTAACAAGCGTCTCGGAAATCGCTGTAGTGATTGCCCCTAGAATAGAATACAACACCTGGAAAGGAAGATTGGGCACAGTGTGGAGGTGACCTATCATTGGATCACATGTTAGATCATAGCTGATGATGTGGGCTTTTTAGGGAGTGAGATTTATCATTCTGAAAACCCTAAAAAAACTTTTCAACTCCCCGTTGTTGGACCAACCATAACTGATATCCGGATTTGATGAATTTGGACCACGACCCCAATGCGAGCCCAAATGGTGCACGCACAAGCCAGTCTTATGGGTGGTTTCCATCTATCAGGCGTTATTAATAAAAGATAATGCTCTGCGATCCACTGGGAAATACGAGGCTTTCAAATTTTCCTTTTTTATGCATTTAGTAGGAATAATAAATTTATGCACCAAAAGGTATCCTACACAAGATGATTAATAACCAAGTAGTAATACGAATCGCTGGCGATGTGTATGCAAACAGGACTACATCTAGCGTTTGTGAATATAAAACCCAGTTTTCTTTTATCACTTATATTGTATACACGCAATGGATATAAAAAATTTCTTGAGATATTGGATATCGGTTTGATTGAATCCTGATGGACAGACAGCTTTTGCGCACCCCATTCGGCTGGACAACATCAGTGACAAGAGGTAGGTGACTGCCAAACTTCGAGTTAACCCTAGCTGTCTAAAACGGTTAAACTGAAATATTTCATTCCACCATTGGGACTTTCTTCAGCATAACATAGCATTCAGTTACTTGTTGAGTAGCAAATAGAAGCAAGGTTAGAATCTTCATGAACTGACAAACTCAGAGACGACCGTTGGCGAATTGCAAAGCAACCCGCATGATCGATTAAGACGAATGCTGTTGCAGCGGAGTGAACCACCTAGATGTTGTTCATCTGTTGTTCAAATCGAAAAGTTATTGTTAGCCCGCATCCAGCTCCCTCTAGCCATAAGTATTTGACTTCGTTCACTTAATTCCTAACCGACATCCTCCAATCTCTCTCTCTTCCTATATACACGTTTGTTTAGCCAGTTTCTAATCCATTTTCGATAATCGCGCTTCCTCATCGATACGGCATTGTTCACCCTTGGGACCAGATAAGCAAGCAAGCAAGCACTATTCAGACACCCAACTCGGTGAACTTGAGTGACAATTTGATTAGTACTCAAGCATTTATAGACTGGTAACCACATTATTCGCAATGTCTGTACACTCACTTGAATCGACAACAAAGTGTTTCCACAACAATCAGTTCTGATAAGTATGATAGAAAAATAAGGAGGTGACCTCGAATTATACAGCGGAAGGGGTGAAGGGAAGACTGGAATAGGGAAGCAGATTGTGTTTGTGCCAGGAAAGTAAATTGAATTTCGTGGGGGGTACATAAAAGATTACGTGGACTTGTGATTACTTGGTGTAATGAAAAAGAGTGTTTAGCTACAGACAGAGGAGAGCCGGACAACTAGTGAACTGGCCAAAGGGAAGTAGGTATGACTGCGGGATTTACATAGGCAAAGTGGATTGGACGAGTAAAAAGCCTGAGAAAAATCGGATCAAAAGATTCATAGTACAACGTTCTATGCTACTGACTGTCTGCAGTGTGAGTAATTCATTTTGGCTTCGCGTATTTCCCACACCTGCTCAGTGAGAATTCTAATACCTTTTCGTACGGTTTCCCTCCGTGCGCGTACTCACATTCGTGGGGCCCGAAAATGCTCCCTCGGAAGAAATGTGAGTGACCAAATTTCTGCACTGTGATATTAGAGTTTTATATACCATGCGGTGATATTTAATGGCTTTCACGAGCGGTGAAAAAAATGTTCTACTGCATCTGTAGTGAATGCTCCACATTCAGCACTCTGGTGTATTCTCAGGACATGTCATCTGCATCACTAGGATAAGGCGTGTCTTTATCGAGCTAGGCTTGAGGTTAGAACCGTCAGATGTCATCATTTACCATACAGACTTATTCTTATTTGGCAGCGAGAACCACGATGGACATTCTAGCTTGAGGCGGTCTTAGCTTCAGTCGATAGTTTAGCTGTGAACGAACGGTGAAGTGTGTGTGGCTTGAATTGAATCA